ATTCGAAATGTTTTTCCGTCGAACAGTAGGTTGTAAATCAAAACGACCCCCTTGACGTGTCCGAACTCGGGGTTCGTTAATCAATGACACGAAGTTATCCTGTGGATAATTCACATTTAACCAATTGTAATTTAAATATTTTATGTACTTCGTGTTCGTGCATTGTACACGCACAGTTACTGATAATACGATACTCGACAGAACAAGAGTGTTATTATATATATATGAGTATATAAAAAAAAATACACGGTGTTTATTATTGTTATTATAATAGTCAGGTTAGAACCTATATTATGTATATAGGTAAGTACGTGCCGTGATTTTCATTAACCCAGTAAAAAATAATTTACGACGGAGCCTATGGATGTGTACATAATACTACAATATGCTGCGGTGATGTGTGTACAGTATATTATTTTATCATTAAACATTATAGAAATGTGTGGAGGAGGCATTATATTACGTCCGATTTAGATCACATAAACCGATCGATAGTATGCTAGTCCCGTTGTACCTATAGACAATATCACATTTATTTTTTTCAAAAATTACATACCTTAACAAACGTATAATAAACGTGATAAAACTGTTAATAAGTTATCTCACTATTCCAGTATAATAATCTACAGAGAAATAATACACAATCGCTATAGTACAAACGCATAGTCCTGAAAGAGTATATATTATTATATGAACTTTAAAATATTTAAATGTAAATTTATTCACCACGAAAGACGTATAGGTATTGTTAAGTGTGTTCAAACTAAACTTTCATAAATAAGAAAAACTTATTTAAAAACGCGAAGTGATTCATGCATAAGCTTATACGATGCACGTTTGACTTAATCTTTTATTCGGTTATGTTCACATTATTATAAATTTTCTAATCATTATACTACAAAGATGTCCAATGGTATAATAATATATTATGTATAATTATAAATTATTGTACTCGTATTGTATCGGTTGGCAGTTACTCTCATAATTGTGTCTATAATGTAGGCCACTGTACTATGCAGTAAATACTTACGTAATATAGAGTTTATAAAATATGTACAAGGTGTTATGTAAACAGGAAATGTTGAAAGAAATTTCTAATTTTTGAAATTTTGATATACTCATTTTGTATGAAATAATATAATATATTATGTATATATTTATATTGTATTTTTGATATTTTTTATCATTGGTTACATAAAAATAATCATGCGTGGAACACCCATATCTTTTGTAATGAGTCTTAACTATTTTCATTAAGAATGATTAAATTTATATATTTAGCTCCCCAGATTAAAATCGATCAATATTTTGCAATACGCTGTGTATACAACTTTCTTTCCTATTTATTAACCATTATAAAGGAGGTCTTTACTATAATATGCCAATATTATTCTTTAGTCATTATAGAATGAAAATCTCTGGTTTTTACTTATTATATTTTTAGTGGGCGTATTTTTAATTATTTATAAATTATTTTTAACAAATAACGAGGGTATGATTTAAACTAAAACTCAAGGGGCATAGGATACGCAACAAAATATTATCTTTTATTAATATAAAAACGAGCAATCTAAAATAATTCCTTATAAGTTATGGATAGGCAACTAAAATGATCTCTGTAGCACGCCATGGCCCATGACATACCTAAAGATAATGTTATATTATTTTGTTTTGGAAAAAATGCAATTAAAATGTTTATATGTTTTATAAAATATGTAACATAAATCAATAGATGTAAATAATTATTTGTAATAAAATGTTTAATTGTTTGAACATTTTTATCAATTAAGTAAAACGACAAAAATATGACATTATACGGAAAAAGATACAGAACGTGCGACTGAATTGTAAAATAATTTAGTTTAGTACTTGTGTACTGTGTACGTGATGGCATTTTGAATTTTTTTTTGTATATTTTAAATGTTAAACTATTTTAATTTAATTTAAAAATAAAATATAATGTATTAACGTCACATATTAAATTGTTTTATAAAAAAAAAAAGTGAGATCAGCTTATGATAACCAAGATAAAAAAAAAAAACTCTCAGGAAGACTACGAAAAAGCTCTTAACTAAATCAACGATACAAAATTGAACCCAAGTAAAACTAAAATTTAAAGCTAATATTAGGTATACGAGTTAGTTTGGAGAAATCTCTTTCAGTCGAACAATTTGGTATATGTATAATTAGTTATATTTTAATTGCAACGTAAAGATTAGGAAAAGAAATTAATAGATTTTTTTCATTGAAGTGCTTCCAAATATCTAGATTATGAATTTACGTATGTAAATTTTATTGATAGTATTTACCGATTTTTTTACTGACCTCTAATCCGTAATCGATGGTATTCAGTATTCACCGTATTTGGCGTACCGCCTATTCCTATAAATCCCATTTCCTCATCATATTAACTTGCTAACAATATACGATATTGTTGATATTACAATAGCATGATAATCATAATCATAATAATAACATATAGGTGTATTATAGTTTATGGGAAATGTTTATGTATTTTAACCAAATACATATGGAGTCCGAGGTGAAATAGCTATTTCTGATTTAATAAAAAAATAAAAATACGTACTAACCGCCGGGAGCCCACTACTGTTTGATAGCCGTTATGGGCCCAGGCCGCCCATGACCATGCCTTGCCTCCATAATATGGGCTTGACTTTTGACTGACACAGATGCCCTCTCTACTCAGTGCATGCCCAACAGCGTTGATTGGCAACATTGCCATTTTGGCGTCCGTCACGATACACCTCCTACGCCTCACACTGTATTTCGATATTATATTTCGTATTGTTTTGTTATACGATTACGGCACGATATTAAAACCCATGTTGTTGTTTTTTTTGTCATGATTTCTTTTTTTTTTTTTTTTGTATCGTTGAGTTTTTCTCGTGACTTAACCATTTATCTTTCGCGTCTGTGACCTGTACCCCTTATCACCACCGACTTCTCTAAATCAAGATTCGCTGTTGCTACTCGACAACGAGTTCTAAAATACTGCGTGTGCGTCACTTGTAAGTTGTTGTCACTCCGCGTGTGTGTCTATCGTCACTGTCGTTATTATCGCGTATTTATTGATTGATTCCTCTTTGGTCATCAACTACTAACCAACATCATCGCCGAGATTATGTGTTGTGGATCATCAGGTGAAATCTGTCAAGTATGTTATTTCAATCTGTTAAACGTTTTTCAGTTATTTAAATCACTACCTAGTTTTTAAGTATTTTCCATCCGTTCTATTATTTGTTAACATCATAAATTTATTAATCAATACAGCCCACTGAAAGTTTTTACCAAATCATATTGGATATCTTTTTCTTTTACTAAATACTTAATTCTCAATTTTACCTGCATTTAATTTCATTAACAGATGACTGTTTATGCTTAAATTTGTAGTCAGTTTTTAGACAGTCATTATAACCTATATAGTTAAACTCTTTTTCATTTTATTTATGTTTAGAAATATAGTAATAGTCTATAGTCAAAACCATAGTTTCCATTGTTTAGAAATCAAATAAATAATTTGATGAATTGTTCTATAATAGGTTTACTATACAGTTATCAATTTTGCATTTTTATAGTACCTAGACTTGAGTTCTTTCAACTTGAGAATATAAAAACAATTCACCTTGCACATCAAAATCTGTATTGCAAATAATAGAATAGTAAAATAAATATTATAAATTGGAGCGCCTATTATAATATTTAATAATGTGGTTACCTTAATTGAGTATGAACCTGAAATCTGAAATAACATTTGTAATTAATGTCAAAATATTAACATCTAATTAATATATAATTTTGTATACAAACTTTTGATATATTTAATTTTTTTTTTTTTTTTAATTTAATAATGTATAAACGTTGAAGGTGGCTTAATTCAAATGATAAAATTAATTTAAAAAAATTATTATCCAACATGAAAAATTAAAATATAAAATTAAGACAACAGATATTATGATAACATTTTAGTGATTGGCGATGGTTATGAGTATCTACCACTAAGCTATCTAATGCAATACCAGTCCTTTAACCTAAGGTTAAGTTACTTTTTTAAATTCTATAACTTATATAATATTGTCACTTGCATTTAACATATTGATTGTCATACCAATTGCATTGAATTTGCCAAAATTGTCTTGAGTATCAGTTATGATTCTCAGTCTACTTTTCCTTATGGTCCTCATTTATTATTCTTAATGATCCATAATCAAATTTGCAAGGTTTTGTATAGGTAACCAATTCTAATTTATTACAAATACCATCAATACTAATTACTAATTCTAATTTAATACAAATATCAATTGTATCAATATTTTGATTGATACAACTATAGAATTAGAATTAGAATTCTGTTTTAAACAAATATAATAAACCAAAATAAATACATTGTTTTAATTAATGTGATTTAATTAATTATTAAATAATTTTCATGTGGTTAATGAAGTAACAACAAAGTATTTCTTTGATTTTGTTAGTGCTTATTGATAGAAATTTGCTAAACGATGGCCGTTTAGCAATGATCTTATAAGTAACATTCTTATTCTCTAGAATGTTTATTGTTACTATCAAATTAAATGTTGTTCTGTACAGTGGCGTGTCTAGGAATTTAAAACGGTGGGTCAGAGACATTTTGTAAAGGCCATCCTTTTTTAGAGGTCACGCAACTTTTTTAAAAGCAAGTTATATTTATTTAAACAAAAATGTCCTCATACCTCTTTAACTCGAATCATTACTTAGTGCTTTAAATAAAAAATATGTTATACCTACTCATACATGTTTTTTTGTGAAAAACAATATAAATAAATGATACAAAAGGTTATCAATTTTAAAATGTAAATAATTCTACATCTTCTATAATTCTAACTACCTTAAAATGGTAATTATTTAAAGACCTTCATAATAAATTATGAAATTTTTAAAACCATTAATAATATATTAAAGCATTAACTACTGGTAACACTTTTTTTTTAAAGAAATAACAGTTGAACAAATAAATCGGTACCTTTATTTTCTTCTATAGAATACGTTTTTTTACAAATTTTAATTCAGAGCATCTAAAAAGTTTTTCTTCTTTTCTTCATTTTGGCAAATGTTTCAATAACATTGTTGTAATCCATATCTTCAGCAACATTTCTTTCTATGCTTAAAACCGCCAAGTTAGACAACCTATCCTCAGCAATTGTAGAACGGAGGTATGTTTTTATAAGCTTCAACCTACTAAATGACCTTTCTGCAGTTGCACTACTTATAGGCAGAGTATAATATATTTTATACAATGTTGATAAATTTGGATATGAAGAAATCATATCATTTTCTATCATGAATTTTAACATATTGTTGTCAAATACTTTTTTATTTTTTATTTCTGCAATTAATTGGTTATAAATAGAACAAAACGACTTGTACTCCAAAATAAGATTTTCTTGTTCAACATCTATTTGATAAAATGTAGAAAGTTCTATAAGGGGTTCAACTAAAATTTCATTACTGGGTCTACCTTCAAAAGATTTTTTTGGATCAAGGATTTCAAATTTTCTTACAATACTAGAAAAATCTTCAAAGCGATATTTTAAAACATTGGTAAATGCATCTAAAATGACAAAATAAGTATTGATCCTAAATCGCTCATCAACTGAACTTATTGACTGAACTTCTGTACTTTCACCAAAATTGGTTTTTATTTTTTTATATCTAGGTTCATCAAACTGCTTTCTACCGTCAAATCCATTGCAAAACACTATTGCCTTTTCTTTAACTTCCATGAATACTTCAATTGTTCTCATAGAGTCAATATCAGTAAAACAAGCTTGAATCATGCTATGAGCTGTTAATAGATTAATTGAAGAGTTCTGTAAATAATTTGATAATATGTATACTTTGTCTAAAATTGTTCTCCACATAATTAAAAAAAAACTGAATTTAAAATTTATTATATGTAAAAGTAAACCCTGAGCTTCAGAAACAGTTTTTTGTTTTGTATTAGGAATTTCTCCTTTGCTAATTTTCTTTAATGTTTTAACAATTGCAGGTAAACTAAAATAAACTGCATCTACAGCACGTTTATGACTAGCCCACCTTGTCTCTGAAAGTTTTTTCAATGTCAAAACAATACCTTCTACTTGTTTTTTTTGTTCTTCTTCCAAAATATGCAATCTAGGCAAACTGCTAGTTAAAAAAGTATACAATGATTCTAAAGTACCAAAGAAGGAAACTGCATCGATGGAAGATTTGATAGAATCAATTAAAACTAAATTTAGATTGTGGGCACAGCAATGAATGTACAAAGAAAGGGGTGATAATTCTTTGACTTTTGATTGTAGACCAGAATAACGGCCAGACATTGTACTAGCACCATCATACGACTGACCTCTACACATAGAAAAATCTAAATCAAATTTTTTTAAACATTTTTTAAGAACATCAAAAAAGTTATCTGCAGAAGCCCCTGGTAACTCTTCAAAACACAAAAAATGTTCTCTAATTATTCCACCTTGATCCACAAATCGTATACTTAAGGAAAATTGATCATCTCGACTGATATCAATAGTTGAATCAATTATGATAGAAAAATATTTTGCTATCTTTACTTCTTTCAATATTAACTGTAACGTTTCTTGAGCCATAGCTTCAATTATATCATTTTGAATTAAATTACTTAGGTAAGTTTGGTTTCTTTTTGACTCTAATAGATGTTTACATAATACTGCATCATACTTTGCTATAAGCTTAACAAGTTCTAAAAACAGTCCATTATTTGATTTTCCATCATTCAATTTTTCTTTATGTCCTCTAAATGGGAGACCATTTTTTGCAAGAAATAGGGATACATCAATTAGACGTTTTAAAACATTACGATTATGTTCTTTTTCAGACTTTTCTGCTCGCATTAAGTTATGTATAATTGTATTATCATTTTGTAATCGTGCTTTTAAAACTAAATATTCTTTTACAGTATTTGTATGATCACTAGATGTCTCATGTTTGATAATTTTTTCTAGTCCTTTACGAAAATTATTCACTCCTTCGGCAGGGTCAGACCAATTAGAATTATGTTTTGATAATGTGCGAAATAAAAAACAATAAAAGCAGTACATTTTGTTACTTTTAGGAGAAAATACTAGCCAATTTCTTTTGAAATGGAAGCCGGATCTTGATTTAATATCATACCAGTCTGGATTAAAACAGTTACCTTTTTCATTTTTTGGAAATTTGAATTTTTTTTCAATTCCTGGCTGACAAGGACCTACTTCAATAAGAGCTCTAATTAATGCCTTCGACAACGTAATATTTTTGAATAAATATGGATCTGAAGGGAAATCTTGGCATTTATCAATCAAAAATGAAAAGACTATGTCCAGTGATTTTTTATTAGTATCTGGTTGTACTGAAGTACCTGATAAAGAAATTTTTTTTATATATATTTTTTTTATAGTTATTTTAATAAAACAATTTAATTTACCTTCAAAATCATTATTTGTATATTTATTTAAAATTGGACTATTATTAAGAACATAATCTTTTTCTTCATATGAATTATATTCAACATTTGTGATTGTTGGCTGTGGCAGAACTAAAAAAAAAATAATTTAGGTAAATAAAAATTTAAAATACACATTAAAATATTACAATTTTAATGCAGAATATTAAAATTACACTTTTATTATTTTAATAAAACAATTTAGTTTACTTTCAAAATCATTATTTCCATTTTCATCAACATTTGTTGATATAACAGCTGTACTATTATTCGGGTTAATAAGCAATGGACCATTATTAAGAACATAATCTTTTTCTCCAGATGAACTATTTTCAACATTTGTGATTGTTGGCTGTGGCAGAACTAAAAGAAAATTATTTAAGTAAATAAAAATTTAAATACACATTAAAATTTACTATTCTAATTTGTATTTTTATTATTTTAATTAAACAATTTGAATGCAGTAATTTTTTTGAAAATTGTTATTTATATACTAATAAAGTTGTAACTAAGTGCAAATAATTATGCATTTGCAATTTTTTTCTTTAAACTTAATATAAAGTATCTGGGTAGCATGAAATAAATTTTTTAACTTTTAAAATATAAAGATAAAAATATGTACCTATACTCTATAGGTATGTCAAATATGGCATCAATTTGCATACTCTGAATTATTTTCCTTTCAAAGCATATTTACTTCTATTTACACCTATCTACTACATATTATTTACATGATATTTAACATTGAACCATGTTTTTTTTCACAATAGGTAGCTATAGTATTTTAAAAAATTGTATTAATTAAGTTTATAGAAACAAAAATTGTTTATGATAAGAAAAGGTTACAATAAGGGCTATAATAATTTTTTGCAATTAAGCTATAATTATTAATTTTTAATAAATACTCCTACTTAAGTTTAAATTATTTTATAAATTATTATTTTAATATTTTAGAACAGAAATGTCTTATACTTATTTTGTTTTTAATAGTTTAAATTTATAAAAATTGAAGCAAAATAAAGTAAACATTTTTAATGCATTAAAATCCGCCCTTCAGTAATAAATGTATGCTGATTGCTGTGTATAATAAATTGCGTTTTTTCCAATTGATTTACAAATAAGTTACTCTACATACCTTTTTTAAAAGATAAGTGATTAGTAATATTTATATATTTTATAATGTGAATAATAAATAATTAATATTTATTGGTAGGTACTAAAACCTTAATTCTTACCTTGTAATATAGAAGGTGTATGTGTATTTATAAAAGATAAAATACTAGTATTTCCTTTAACCATTTTTTCTTTTTCTTTTATTATTCTTCGAGCTCCACCAGATAGCCGTTTTTTTTTCATGTCAGATTGAATGGGTTTCATAATTAAAATTTAAAAAAATTGCGAAAAAACACAGACAAAACAACAGAATTAACAACAATATACAACGATTTTATAAAATCAACGCTTATAATATGCTCAATGTAAATACGAAAATTTTATTAGCACCCATAGTTATTATTATTATTTATTATCACACAATATTGAATATTGTTAGTATCTGCTCACTGCTGAAAATCTATAAACGTAGACACTCTCGAGGAGTGTTGATGCACATGTAATGTAAATATAGGAATTCCCAATACATTGTGTTCGGTTATTTATTATTAGAGACGTTATCATTTCATAACAAAGCGTCTTATACGAAATACGAATTACCGATTACGGTGTGCCACTGTACCACAGTCCACAATATTACCTAAAATAATATTATAATTTATATTTATACTATTATTATGCACTACATAATATTATTTACGAGTCGTAAAGCATAATATTATGACATTAATCCAGGAGGAATTAGATTACCTACTAGGTTTGGGATTTTTAATTTTGAGAGGCCAGTCGATTACTAATTCAAATGAGCGGAGGGTCAATTGACCTCCCAAACCTCCTACTAAACACGCCACTGGTTCTGTATTTACATTGTCTAGTATATCAAAAATATCAAAACAATCTTTGAGTTTCAAGTTCATGATTGTCAGTATCTTTCTGACGAGTATCATGTTAATCTATATTAAAACTCAATAAAAGATAATATTATTAATTAAAATTAATATCTTAGTAAAAAAAAAATAATAATGTAAGATATGTTGATATAAGATTAATTTCTCTTATACAATACAGTACAAAATGTGATTTATATACTATAAATTATAAGTAGGTATATGGTATCTATATAAATTAATAAAATCAATTATTTATATTCAAATCGATAATAATGCATAAAATAAATACCAAATAATCTAACTATTTAGTTACATATTGATGAATTATTATGAAATATATTTTGAATAGTTTAAATAATTAATAAGAAAATAATAATACCTAAAAGCTTTTATAAACTTTGCTGTGTGGTCTGTTGCTATAAAAGTAACTTTTTTCACTAAGAATCTTATCAGTTACCTACTTCTGCAATATTATTATTATTTTTCAATTATCAAAATAATTAAAATAATGGTATCAATCGTATAATATAAATGTCAAAAACAAATTAATCGAATTATTTAAAAAAATTGTGTGTTATGAAAATTAAAATATATAAATAAATAATAAATTAAATAATGTAAATTACAAAATCCTTGTTGATTTATGAAATAAAATATAAACACTTATAAAATTTTAAATAACAATGAATATCAAGTTAATTAATTAAAATTGAATTACTATTTAAAAAAATAATGTTATCTACCTACATAATATTTTATGTTAATAAAATAAGCACTTAGGTATGATTATTATCTCAAATACTCATAATTATAATATTAATATTGTTGAAGTACTAGGGTTTTTAAATTCAAATATAAATTTAAGAAACACTTGAAGAGAATCTTGATGATGGGATGCCAATATCAGGTGCATTAAGGTAAGTATATAATAATATGGCATATTTTAGGTACAATTTATTTATGCTGATGTATTTTAATAGATAGTGCTATTTATTATTAACCAAATATCATTTGATTGTATAATATGTATAATAGAATTGACTTGGTAAAATTTCAAAATAACATTTTGCTATTTCTAATGTTAACAAAAATTAAAATTGACTAAGTCTATTAACATTACTTATGTAAGTTACCTAAGTATACACATAAAATATTTGTATGATTTCATAATTTATAGATATTATGAGAGTATTTTAACTATGTCAAATGAACCTACTAAAGATTTTGCAAATGGTAGAATTAATATTCATTTTATTCAATATATGCAATAATATGCATATTATCCAAAATATGCAAACACATACAAAATAAAATATCATCATTTATCTTATGAGGTAATTTATGGACATAACTGACAAAATCAATTATTAGCAGTCGTAAAAAAAATATGATAATGCATATAAATCTTAGCCCTGGTAATAACTAGGTATATAATAGTATACTATCATATGAATTTGCTTAAAGATTATATGTACAATAATATAATAGTACAAATTATTACATTATTTTTCGTATGGTTTAATCCATAAAACATTATTAATAAAATTAGTTCATACTGTAGTAACAACAAAAATTACAACATAAAATTTTATTAAATTGTAGAAACACACTTTCCATATATATTTTATATTTTTTTATTTTATTTTATTACTTTTATCTATTTAAATTATCAATTACATGTAATTATTAAATGCATACTAAATTTTATTATGCATACAAGAAATATATAAAAATTATTATTGTACATTGCATTTAAACTAAAAAAAATACTAACAAAATCAATTTAAAACTGATCGATAAAAAAATTGATTTGAACAAGAGCGATTAGTACGTACCAAACCATATCGCACAAATATAATGTTTATAATACGTAGGTAATAATAGAGATAAGTTAAGGCAACGATAAAACTACTTACATAGCTGTAATAAAGATTAAATGATATACGAGTAATAAAATAAAAATAGAAAATGGAATTTTTCTGTTCGTGCTAATCAAAAAAATGACATTATGGTTTATACATTTTGTTCGAGTTTTGTGTTAACCAAAAAATTTGTGTAAATCGAGAAAATAAAAAAAAACACTGTCTTAAAGTATGTGTATTTTTCGGGACTGAAAAATTGGTTCGTGTTATCCAATTATTTGTGTTAACCGAGTTCGTGTTAACGAGGGAGTACTATAATATGATTTTTATATTTTATCTTTTACTAATTTTAAATGAAAGTAAATTGTATTTTTTCTTCAATAAAAATAATAAATAACGTATAACTGATTATGCAGGTGCCAGAAATTCTCCAAAAATATAATAATATACATTTTAATACTTTATACACATAATAATATGACACTATGATAATAATAATAATAAAATTTATAATAAATAAATAAAATATTTTATCGTCCCAAATGTTGAACTATTCCTGTCTACAGTGGTTCCCAACATTTTTAAGACTATTACCCACAAATCAGGTTAGATGTTAATAAATACCCCTCCCTCCCCAAAAAAAGTTAATTAAAAAAAATAACGAAAACAAAATATACATTATGATTATTTTTATAATTTAAAAAAAGTTTTTATGACAATCAATGAGTAATGGTAATGTAAGTTAATGAGACAGTTAGTATTGCTTATTTCTAACAATTTGTTTGATATTCGGTTCAGTTTCAGCTAATGCACATCTTATGTCGTGTTCCAAGTTCAATCGGTTTCTTGATTTTGTTTTCATTGTTACCATTGTTGAGAATCCACTTTCACATCTGTACGTTGTGGAAAAAGGGATAAGTATTTTCAAAACTTTATCCGATAATAATGGATACTCACCAATTTTTCGCCAAAATGTTGCTAGTTGTGTGTTTTTAAAATCTATTTTCTGCGTGTTGTCTTCACGAAGTTCTAAAAATTGTGCTTTGGCTTCAATTTCAATATCTGAAAATACACTTTCATCCACTGAAAAGGGTCTTAGCACCCAAGTATTTACTTGACGATTTTCCAAATCTGGAAAATATTTATCGATTGAATCTACTACTGATAATAAGTGGAGAGTTATTTGATTTGCGAATGAGCATTTTTCATTTTTTTCGTCGAGCACCATTGTTAGTTCTGAAAACATTGAAATGTCCCCAACTTCAGCTCTGCGTTGGTAAAATTGCAATTTACGAAGAAAACTAGCAACCTTATCTTGAGCGGTTAAAATATTCGTCATATTCCCTTGCAAACTGAGATTAAGTGTATTTATTTCTCCGAAGAAATCCGCAAGATATGCTAGTTTAAAAATAAATACATTATCCGTTATTTTAGCGTGAAACTCATTCTTCTTTACCTTGCCTGATTTTTTCTTTTCCAGAAACATGACAATTTCTGTTCGAAGCTCAAGTACTCTGTGCAACACCTTGCCTCGTGACAACCAACTCACCTCTGTGTGCAACAACAAGACGTCGAATTTTCCTCCCAGCTCATTACACAAGTCCTTAAAAACTCTTGTATTTGTCGCACTGTTTCGGATGTAGTTTACAATTTTCACTATCTGAGTAAATGTGTCCAATAAATCAGGTAGAAGAGTTCTCCCTGCCAAAGCATAACGGTGAATAATGCAGTGGCTAAATAATTCAAACGGAGCGACTTCTTTCATTAATGTTTGAAAACCAGAACGAATCCCCAACATGGCTGGTGCTCCATCTGTACAGACACCTATTAACTTCGACCATTGCAGCCTCTTTTCATCGACACAATTTTTCACTATTCGAAAGATATCTTCTCCACGTGTAGTAGTGCTCAGTGATTCTGAAAATAAATATTCTTCTTTTAAGTCATCGCCGAATATATATCGAATATAGACAAGTAGCTGAGAACAAGATGCAACGTCAGTTGACTCATCTAACTGTTATGCGAAGAAAGGACTTAACCTTATTTCATTGAGCACCGTGTCCAAAATATTTTTGCTCATATCCTCGATGCGATTTTTGATAGTGTTGTTAGAAAGTGATATCTTGTATACAAGGTTTGACGAGGTTCTCTCCAATTGTATGAGGTTTCTTGTTTTTTGCGATTCGAAGAGCGATACAATACGAAGCTTCAAGACCAACTTCAGTTGACTGAAAAAAGTAGCCGGCTGAATCCATACGCGTATCTTTTAAACCAACTTCTTCACATTTGAAAAATGCAATATCTTTTTTACAAACTGAGAATGACTTCTCTCAAAATGTTCTTTTAATTTGCTTGGTTTCATACTTTCTGCTGTGAGCAGTTTGTTGCACAGAACACATTGAGGTTTCTCAACACTTTTATCAACAAACTTAGTAAAACTCCATTGTAAAAGCTTCTTTATATGACCTTTTTTTCCCCTGTGACATGGTTCCTAATTCAAAAGAAAATCGTCAAAAACCAATATAAAAATAATACAATTATTTCACTCGCCTGCTTTTTCTCCGCATCAAAATAATCAGAAATCGACAATATTAGTCGATAGTCACTGGATAGCACATACAAGTACACTAATAATACTTAATAAACAAACGGTGAACGACTAACTGATAGTTAAAAGTTGAAAATCATTAAATTAAATATTGACATAATTTTATATTATGTAATAGGATATAAAATTTGTAGTTGTTATAACTGAAATAATTCCAAGAAATTTAAGATAATATGATATTAAAAATATTATTTATAGGTAATACATACAATTATCAGTGTCATTAGGACATAAAATAAGGAAATCTATACAATTATTAACAACAATTATATTAACACAATTGCTTTTACAATCGTAGTTGAGTTAATAATAATAATAATAATAATAATAGATACAAAGTACATAAAATTAAATAAAATAAATATTTTAGTCTTTACCCCTCCAAAAATCGTGTTTTACCCCATTGGGGGTAATTACCCCCAGGTTGGGAACTGGATTCTCACTAATTATTAGTGAGAATCCAGTATTTTTGTATGGGTTTTATCTGATGTGCAGAATGGTAATTTGCAAAGTCATGGCGTTTCAGAGTGATGTTGGTTAGGTATCACTGTTATTTGTTGTTACGTGTATCTCCTTGTCTATCCCTTTATCAATGTTTCCTGTTATTCTATAGCCGCCGCCGTGATTTATTAGTTGGTAATTTTACTTTTTTCCACGTTCCATCTTTTCATTCACTCACGATTTTTTTTTTTTGACGGTGCTTTCATAAGTTAGTGGTGTTTGTATACTCATACATTTTGGTACTTGATACGCGATGTTTTTTCTAAGAAGTTATTATTGCCTGTTCGCTTGGTTGAACGTCGCCATTGTTTATTTAACAAATTGTATCCATTTGAATCTTACCACAAGGTCTTATCGTTGGAAATTTTTAAACACTTAAGAACGTCGTTCTATGTGTTAAGTAATTATGTTTATAGTGTAGGTTTGTTAAATTTATATACTATCAGATCTGATACAAACAAATCCAACGACATCAAGTCATTGCCTTTATTATTAATTGTCACATATTGATTGTTTGTCTTCCTTTATTTTACATTGTGTCGATTAATTTATCTATGTATGTTATTTCTTATAGAAGTTATCTATCCATAATAAAAACATTAGAAACACCGAGAGGGTCCTCGACTGCCGGCACCAATCCCAATTAAAGAGTACAATTAATCAACGTTTGGTTGCAGAATGTAGCCAGATTAGATCTTCTAATAAACGGTTAGCGTTAGTTAACGGTGAGCATATCGTATTTATTTCTCTTAAAATTATTATTTAGTTACCATATATCTATAAAACTGTAGTATAGAAATGCAGTGAATATTGTATTAAACTTTCTGTTGTTACACGGATGCTATATGAATATAAAGATATGTTCCTATAGCTGTCTTGTACATACTGAAATACTTGGTTATTTGCTAAAAAATATATGTCAAAATAAAAACGACAAAATTGTAATTTTAACGGGTCACAAGAACAAGAATTCAAATAAATTTCAGCATTTAGTGTAGTTTCTGCTCTTTTAACTCTTGAATGCTCAATAAATGATTCATATACATTAGAATTAGCATTTAAAGCATTAGAAAGTCTATTCAATAATTCCTCTACTCGACAAGGAAAAATACTATACTTCCTAAACCCATTTTATAATTTGATTTTTAATGTTGGTTTCAGTACATCCAAAAGCTTTTTTAATAATCCTGGAAATAATTGCTTTTGTAGGATTGCATTTTTTAAGTCATTGGTTGTTCCTTTCCGGTCTAGGACAAATGGGCGCCGTCAACTGGGCACGACCAACTCGGC